GCTCATTTAAGAGGTATTTCAGTTAATCTCTTTCACTCTTTTTTTTATTTCTTATCTATAATAAATATTTTTATAATAAAAATAATCATGTAGATATTTTAAGGTTAATTGTATAATTTAAATTTCAAGCATGTAAATAGTTATCAATAAAATGGGATTTAATATTTAAATTATTATTTTTTATAATGCTAATTTCATCATTTATATGGGCCTGACCCTCTTAAAACTTCCCCAGTGGAGTCGCCATCTGTCGCAACCCAAAAATTTTCAATCTTGCGACTAATGATTTAGACATCCTTTTGAAAATCTCATAAATTAAAATGATGAATTCTGGTGTACAATGTCACAACCGAGATCGCGACGGGACGACGAAAAATAAATTGAAAAATAAGGAGTCACCACCAATGTTATTTTTAAGGAAAAACATTGGAAAAACCATATAATAGGAAACTAGTATACGAAAATCAGATTTTTGAGTTCGGGAGTCGATTACGTGTGAGGAAGGTACTAACACCTCACAACGTTCGTCCTAAGACGATTACCTTTAATTAATTAAACAAATTATTTATAGCTTATAAAATATTTATCTCACCCTAAATTAATTAACTATAATCATCAAATATATTTTATTTAACTAATGCATTTTAAAAAGGGTTAAAATTATTATTCACATAAAAAAGGGGGATAATGTTATTTTTATTTTTTTGCCTCGACAAGATTTATTTCTTACTCCTACGTATCTCCATGTGTAATGAAGAATCAGAGTCACGTAGTTCTTTTATAAAAAATATTTATGAGTTGATATTTTTTATTAAATTTTATTTTTGTTAAATTTAGGATCTTTGAACTGTCTCAGCTCATTCACCCTAAAATATAAAATTGACTGAGGTGTACACCAAAGTCAATTCAATAAAATATTAAATTTTAATTAATATTATCGATATTATTGCTATTATGATATATACTTAAAAGATTTTGGTTGGACATTTTACTTTTGGAGAAAAATCTAAAGATATCAAGTTGTCACAACTTGTTTCTTACATTCAAAGGTTAAAGATGTCACATCTAATTAACCATTCCTCAAATAAATGTGTGAAATTCGTAAAGTTGCAAATAAGTTCTTGAAAGTATAAGTTGACATTCACGTTAATTAATTTTAAACTTAAAAAATGTGTGACTAACATATTAATATTAAAATATATATTTAGGAGCTAAAATAACAATAAGTAGTTAAATTTAACTTATATTAAATTTAACTTATATGATACTTTATAAATTTATTTAATATTTTTCTAGTTTGAGGCACTAATATGTTAAAGTTCATCATTTTTAGATGCCAAAAGTATTACTCAAATTTATTTCCTCCAAAATATAAAGTATGAAAAGCCAGCCTTTTAACTTAGTATTAAAAAAAAAAAAGGTAAAATCGAGTTTACAAAATTTGTAATAAAAAAATTTGACTTAAATATTTTTTTAATCCTTATATATTATATAAGGTGATTTTTCATTTTAAAACTTTTAGTTTTGAAAAACTATTATGGTCTCTATTTTTTTTTCCGTTTCATTTTGGTTCCAATTATTATTATGTGATGATGTAATTAATAGAAATCGAAAAAATCGCCTAATATTTTCTAAATAGGATATTCGAAAATGGCAATCTTTCATAACTTGATAGGGAAACAATAATTTACAGACTAAAATAAAATAAAATAAAAATATAGATAAGATTTTTTTAAAACTAAAACGAAAACAATCCTATATTATAAAGATACAAAATTTTATTTAAGCATAAAAAGTTTTTGAAGTCAAATGCTCAAGTAAATGAATTAAAAAGATAAAACAATAACACTTGAAGTATGAAAACAATTGTCTAAAGCTTGTACACACGATATTTCATCATTATTGATTAAAAATAATGAAATACTCCTAAGTAATACAAACTAGGGTCTGATTGAGGATTTATTTTTTGGTAAAGGTCACATATATCATCTCATATGTCGGATAAAATTATTATAGTGGACACAACCTCTCTTTCTAATTTATATATACTCGAATTTGAAACATTAGAACAACTTCATGCTAATTGGTTCATAGTAATAGGTTTTATTAAACATAAGATGACTAAACCTCAAAGTTTTATTTATTAATAAAACAAACAGTAAGATGAATAAGTGGTGCGTAAAATGTTGAAGCTTTACCCAAGGGGAAAACATGCATCAACTAATAAAGAAATTTTATTTATTTTGGAAAAGCCCATCATCCTATATAACAAGAATGTTACCCGCCTAGGATAATCTCGAATGTCTTGGAACGTCTTTCATCAAAAAAACATAGAGTAAAAAAGTATCATATATTATGCTTTGAAAAGTAAAGCTATATCGAGCACCATATTTGATACGAAAATAAAGATGGGATAAAATAGACTTTTGAGAATGTCAACGCATCAAATTACAATAATACACACCGTTTGAAAAAAATAATAAAATATCTTTCATAATATAATATTTCGACGTGACAATCTCTATTTCATATATACTACTACATACAATTCAATAATTATACAGGAATTTTTTGATAAATTGTATTGAATAAATAAATTTTTTTAAGATAGAAATGTCACATTACAAATCAATACTCATTCATAAGCAAATTAAGTTTGAAGCAATTACAAAGAAATAAAAGAGTAATGCTAAAAACAAATTTGACTAACAAAATTTAAGTCCTAATGTAAATAACTAGCATAAAATAATCTCATATCGAGCATTTCCAACACAGTCTAAACCTCCCTCAAAGTACATCAATATTAAAATTAGGTTCATCCGCAATCGAATATCAAAATAGACCATCAAAGAAAGGGAGTAAAAAACATCTCAGTTAATTACTAGTGCAAGCTATGGTCGGGTAGCCACAAACATATACCAATGATTATAATAGTAGAATATATCTCATGCATTCAACATATAATACCTTCACAATTCATATTTAATCAAAGCATAATTAAATAACATGCACTAATCTCAAGATACAACATCTATATTTTAAATATCATCATTCATCAAGTCCATAATTCACATTCAATGGGGATGCTATGGTCATGGACAAGACTTTCCAAACTATATGTATGTGGTGCTAATAAAATCACTTTTATCACAGTCCAAAGGTATGAGTAACTTAGGAGAACATGTCGGGTCATAGTCATCATAACACTTTGCACTAGGAGAAAATATTCTAGTAAACACACCATGATAGTTATGTTGGCCAAATTTTAACCTATGCATACAACAGACGAGACTAGGGCTCTCAAACCTAACTACTATCTTTAAAGTCATGAATTCCAAAATAAACCTAACTTCTTATTAATCATATTCACAATTCTCAATCCACATAATTCACACTCCAATTAAGTAATTCACTCAAACTTTTACACAGCTAAGATATACTTAGATTTGGTCACATGATTACTTGCTATCACATTCTTGCAATTTTACAACTTCACATTGTTGAATCTTACCTAAATATGATTTTAATAATGATAAATTCTTTGTTTTAAATTCTAGATAAGAAGAGTTCTTATTTGTGTACTAATAAATTTGATTAAGTTTTTCAATAAAATTAAGATCGATCAAAAAGTTACATAAGTATATGAATCCCTAAATAATGAAAGTGCTTCACAAGATATCTTTTTGACAAAGTAAAAGAAGATTTTGTTTCAAGGATTATTAACATAAAATACAATGGCTATCACAAACAAGAAATTAAATATCCTAAGTTACTATTTATAAAATTTGAAGTAAAACATTTATTCTCAAAATAAATATCTTTAAAATCTAATTTAAAAGACTTCTACTTCAAGGTGCCTATTAAAAACCTTCAATTAAAATAATATATAATTTTTTTAGAAGAATAGTATTAAAGACTTAATTTAAAAGACCTAAAGTAAAAACTTACTCAAAAGAGACATTAATTAAAAAAACTGATAGAAACAAAACCGATTTTATTCAAACAATTATTAATTATTAATTATTAATTGATAGAAAAGGTAAATGAAGTACCTTGGCTGTGTAATGAAGTACCTTCGCCCAATGTTCACCAAACACGAAGACAATTCAAGATTTTCAACAAATTTTTTTTGGTATAACTATATAAATACCAAGATGTTTGAACTCATTTCTATAAGAATTATCCTATAATATCTTTTAAGTGCTTTAGATTATGACCTGACTTTAAAACTTACAAATTTATATCTCAAATGGTTCTTTTTATATAACGATAATTAACCGATAAAAAATAAATTAGACTAAAACATTGTTTAGCTCTTTTATTTATTTATTTATTTATTTTTAATTTCACTTTGGCCTCCAAAATTAAAAGTTTCCATTTGATATCTTAAAACAACTTCTTTGACTAAGAAATATTTATAGGAGAAAAAGTAAAAAATAAAATGAAATTTGTTTTGTTTTTCACTAAATATATTAATTTTGTCTAAAATAGTATCTCTTTTAATTTATCATGCATCATCCAATTTTTCAAATTAGTGTGATAAATCAATACAAGGATGAACTCGACCGATGAACGATACTTTAAGGATCAAAATCAAACTTTTTATACATAGGAAATAAAACTAAAATAAAAAAATTAAAAAGTTTAATTATCTTTTTGTCTAATTACACAAACTTTACTTTTTATTTTTTATAATCAAAATTTTTCATTTTAATTACTTTATACATACTATTTTTATTTCCTTCAAATTTTTATAATTATATAAATTTTACCTTTTAATCCTTATAAAAATAGGCCACAAAAATCAAAAGTGAAGAAAAATGATATATATAAAAGTTAAAATAGAACATTTTTTAATAATAAGGACTAAATTGAGCAGTAGAATTAAAATAATTAACCCAAATTAAAATAGTAACAAAATTCTATTTTAATTTTTTTTAAAACTTATAGTCCTAATTTGAAACTCAAAAAATAAAATAAAAGGAGAGAACTAAAATTATGTACGTAAGAGGGTGTATAGTAGAATCCCCCTTTTGTTCCTCGGAGCGAAGATTGAAGAATAGTCAACGACTGCGCCTGATCCATACCATCATACCATTACCAGTTCCTCTTCAAATCAGGTGAGCAACGAAACCCACCTTCTACTTTTTATCAATGCAAATTTTCGCATTCTAGAACATTCCAATAAACTATTAAGAAATTTACACATGCTTTTGTTTGGTCACCAACTTCCCAACTAACTATACTCTTCTTCAGTAAATGTACAACCTTCTGAATTCTGAGCCTCACCCCAAATAAGAAAAAAATCTTAATTTCTCTATTTCGTCTCAATACAGAAAATTGGGTTTTGCTAAAGACTGAATTTTGGACCTAATTGATCATTGAAGTTTATAGTTAATAGGTTTTGGACTTTTGGTAGCTGAAACGCTGTCTGGGAATTTCAGTGATTTGGCTTATTTTCAATGGCTATGGCTGCAAATGAGGATGCGGCACAGGATTTTGCACCAAAGAAAAAGCCACCTTCAGAGGATGAGAAGAGGTAGATTTTTTTTCTTCTTTTATTGTTTTTTGTTTATTTTTCGTGCTTTGGCTTTGCTGGTTTTTTGTTAGGATGTTTTGGCTGTGGGTGGTGGTTGTGTCCTAAATGTTGTTTCTTTGTGGAAATGAAGGAAGAAGAAAATCGTGCCTGGGAGTTTGATGAAAGCTTTGGTGAGGCCTGGTGGGGGTGATTCTGGACCTTCGGATGGTGACCAGGTTATTTCTGTTTATATTAGGTTGTGGATATGCATTTTGTGATGTATGTAGGCAATTTGGAACGCTTTGGTGTGGATACCAATGGTTGTAGTGATTTTTTAGTGGGTTAATGTTTATAAAGGAATTTGTTATATAATGTTCTCAGGTTATCTATCACCGCACGATCCGAACATTGGATGGAGTACTTGTGGAATCTACCAGATATGATTGTGGAGGTGAGGTGATTTAAGCTGCTTGGGACCTTTTTGCTGTGTTTTGATTAACAAGATGACAGTCATTTATGTTGGTTTCGTCTTGCATTTGTTTGTTTGTTTGTTTGTTTGTTTTATTTTTAATAAAAAAGAGTTGTTTTTATCCTCTATTTTTTGATAATGCTTGCATTATTTTTGTTTGGGAATTGACACACAGGGATTGCTTCTTGTTAGCACCAGTCAACTCCTAGGGATTACAAATACTTTACTTGCAAATTTCATAGTGAAACATCCTGCTGTAGAAAATATTGAAAGTTAGATTCAATTTTGTGAATAAGTTTTGAGTAAAGATAGTATCAGCACCAAATTATTGTCTTCTGTAGTTGATCTAGTTGTTGCTTGGATAATCTTTTATGTCACTGCAACAGGCAAGGGCACCCCGATAAGACATGTTTTGGGCAAAAGCAAGATGTTATTGGGCTTGCTAGAAGGGATTCCTACCATGTTGAAGGGTGAAGTGGCAATGGTAATGTATTGATGATCGAAAATTATTGTCTTACTGATACATACCCTTTTTCTGGTGACTAAAAGCTCTAGTCATCTTTGTCTCATCACGCCTAATCCATGTTATATTAGAGCTTTTCACCTGTCTAGATTTATTGTGATTTTGAACTTAAAACCTGATAACAACCTTAAGAGAACCACACCACAAAAGCTAACTGTTAAGCTTGTTATAGTTGGAGAGCTCAAAGTCTTATAAATCCCACACTAGAATCCCATACTGCTAGTGTGAGACTCAGCTCCCATACCTTGCAACTGGATTGTTGCACTTACCTACTCTGCGGCTGTGGCACCAAATTCTAATAATATATGATGGGATCTTCCAATGGTTTCTTTAGGGGTATTACTTTGGTGTATCCTTAGTTGGATACGAGGAAAATTTCGAGCTGACTTCTTTTTCATTTTCCCCCTTGATTCTTCTCTTTCTATTTGGCAGATTTCTTATTCTTTGTGAATTTTTCTTTAATAAATTTTTATTTTGAGTCGAAGAAGAATTATCTGGTTATACTTCACTATTTTTTCACTTAGTAGATTGTTTTATTTATTCTTGCAGTTCAAGATGAAGCCTCAGTTGCATTATGGTGAGGATGATTGTCCTGTTTCTGCTCCTGATGGTTTTCCTAAAGATGATGAACTTCATTTTGAAATTGAGCTGATAGAATTTTTCAAAGCCAAGGCAAGGATTTGTTTTTTTTATTCTTGTGTTTATGTTCTTTATCTTTGTCACCCTGATGAGTTTTTTGGTTTCAATCTACTCTTTTACAGTTGATAGCTTCCCATCTATTAATTGGGTGCTTTTAACTAATTGAAAATATATCCTTATCCAAATAAAAACAATTCATTCATTTGTTTATCTTTTTCAACACATTAGAGTTTCCTTTTATCAGTGGTTATTCATCCTTATTTTGATATTCATCGATATTGTTGCTGTGTTTTGCTCAGAATAACTATAATTTGTGATTGATGTGCGTTGTAATCCTCATTTTTTTTTTCTTTTGTGTATATTTCCAGGTTGTTACTGATGATTTGGGAGTTGTGAAAAAGGTATAAATGGCTGGAATGTATTGCTGTGTAGTTTATAAATTTATTTTGTACATGTTCCTATCATCTTGAAAGGATCTCATGGGAATTATGAGTGTCAAACCCAAAAGGAAAAGGAAAGAGCTGTGTTGTGTCTGACACTAATGTTCAATACATCTCATTAGAAATGGCTCACATTATTTTAAATTTTCTAGGCTTCATAACATGCTTTTAAATTGCAGTTGTAACTGTGTTGTGATTGCCAAAATTGCAGGTGAGTGCAGCCATGATTGTGATTGCATTGCATTTGCAGACCTTCAATTGAAAACACTGCCTCATGTATTAAGAGCATGGGTGCATTTTTTTTATTACTATGTATTCTCTGGAATGAAATATTTATAAATTTTTCCTGTTTCAAATCATGATAGAGTTCTATGATATATTGATATTTGAATATATTGAATCTTATCAGTATATACAGGAAATTCTGAGAAAATTGGAATTGTATCATAATTTGTCAGAAAGTTCAAAATAATTTGGTACTTCTATATAATTTTTCATCATGTGTTGTCATGTGATTATCTTTTGTTCGGCTAGTCAAAATTGTAAAGGAGTATTCAATCTGGAAAGATATCCCCTCTAGGGGGATGATTCTGTCATTTTTACTCCATAGTCTCAATCAAGTTTTATCTAAAGTGAACTCTCTGAGTGTATAGGTAGTAAGTGAAGGGCAGGGGTGGGAATCTCCAAGAGAACCTTATGAAGTGAAGGCTTGGTAAAACAAATCTTTGTTCTTTGTTATTCTTTTTTTTTTTTCTCCTATTGTTGATCTATTGATGATATTATTTTGCTTGTTACCAGGATTTCAGCGAAGACAGTTACTGGGAAATTGATCATGTCACATACAGAAGGAGAACCATACTTCTTTACATTTGGAAAATCAGAGGTATTTATATCACTCCATATATTGTTTATTAAATGATGATAATGATATCATGGTGGAATAACTTATAATGAGTTGGCAATATCTTAAAAACATAATTTAATATTAATATTGATTTCTGCTGTTCATCTCTGGTCGTTACCCTCCTCTTAACAAATCAGGTACCTAAAGGTCTTGAAATGGCAATAGGAACAATGGTTCGGGAAGAGAAGGCTGTTATTTATGTTACCAGTCAGTATTTAACCGAATCTCCTTTGATGCGTGTAGCAGATGATTATGATGAAGTCCATTTTGAAGTGGAGCTTGTTCACTTTATTCAGGTGAGCGACATCTTTCTCACTAGAAATGATGGTTTATTATTCAACTTGTTTCTTGTATCATATATCATGTATGTGTGGTAAAATATAATATAATATGATGAATAAACTTTTCTCAGCATTCTCCTTTTTTATTTATTTATTTATTATTATTATTAAAGTTGTTGTGGCATTCTCTGATTTAACTTTCTTCCATTCCTGAGAACCCATACCCGATTTTAACCTGTATGTTGCATGGGTGTATATGATAGGCGCTAAAAGATTTTAGTATTTTTGCTTGTTAAAATGTTTTTATGTTCAGCAGTCATATAGGAGTACCTCACGTTTCGAGGGCAGGCTTGGCTGAATAACTGTTACAGACTTATTTATTTATTTCCTTTCCTATATTTGTTTTACTCGTCCCCTAGTTAAGAAGTATTTGTCATATACATCACTTTCTATGAAACTTTGCTAGAATTATTAATAATCAGCTGTGTACAACATTAATGTTGTGCACAACATTTTGTACATGAACTGTATATGTAGATTATGATTTGATTAGGGACGCACAAATTTATATACGCTGTATTTCCTGGTCTTCGTAATCATATTAGTGAAATATGGTTATGAAGACCCAAAGTTAAATAACCTGGATTTTATCCTTCCTATTATTACTGGTGGTGTCTGAAACATATGCTTTTTGTAATTTTTTTTTTCTCTGACCAATATGTTGAGCCGATGAAGTTTTATCTTAGTTATATATCAACAGGTGAGGGACATGCTTGGAGATGGACGCCTAATAAAACGCCGAATTCGTGATGGGAAAGGTGGGAATTGAAACTCTAGAGTTATTTATTGATACCAATCTTACAAGCAGTGGAGATTATAAAAGGCTTCATGACTTCTCTTTTGCTTGGGAAAAAATTAAATAAAAAAGAAAGATATAGAAAATAAAGTTGTGGAGCATGCCTGGCTGATGCTTGAGTTTAAATTCAAGATGTTTTAATTATACTGAGTTCATTAGTTACCATCTTTTGTCTTTCACATTTTTATTTATTTTTTATTGTTGTTCCTTAGTTAAAGTGGTATTTTAAGAGGAGCTAAGAATTTTATGCTTGCATTCACATTGTTTTAAATTTAAATGCCAGTTTATTTCTATTCAAAGTCTTATTATGGTATTGCATTTTGTTTGTATCAAACAGGTGATTTTCCGATGGATTGTCCACTTCAAGACAGTCTACTTCGCGTTCATTATAAGGGCACTGTTCTTAATGAAGAAAAGATGGTATTTTATGATACGAGAGTAGACAATGATGGTCAACCATTGGAGTTCTGTTCTGGAGAAGGGCTTGTGAGTTTCCAACTTGAGTACAACTTAAGTTCAATTGTTTCTTTTACTTTTTTTGATGTAGATTTTGCAATCCGGAAATTCCTTTTGTATAATTGTTTATCTAGAATGTATGCCCTTTTGCATCAATGCTATTGATGCAAATACATCAACTTTTGCATTGGAATCTCATTTTCTTTCTGCTTTAGGTACCGGAAGGATTTGAAATGAGCGTTCGTCTGATGCTTCCTGGAGAGATAGCTCTAGTCACATGTCCACCTGACTATGCTTATGATAAGTTTCCAAGGTTGCCGATGAGACTACTCCTTTTACTTTGTTTAACCAATAATTTAGGTTCCTTGAAGCATTTTAGGGCCGGCAATACCCTATTAAATATGGTTTATATCTTAACATCCACCGTCATTCTGTTCTATTCCCAAGCTTCATGATATCATTGAAATTCTTCCACCTTTTATGATCAGGCCTTTAAATGTCCCCGAGGGTGCTAATATTCAATGGGAAATTGAGCTTCTTGGTTTTGAAACACCAAAGGTACTTTTAGAAACTGTTTAGTTAATTTCATGTTATTTATTATAGTAGTTACTTATATGGTAGTGAATGTTTAGTGGTGTGAAGTGCTGACAACAGAAGAAATAAATGCGGCACAGATGAGAATCCTGATGACAACAGAATATTTATATCGTTATCCAATTTGTTTTTCTTTGGTTATTAACATTCCTTAAATACTATTGAATGACAGATTTCAAGTTTATTGTTCTATGGTTTTGGACCCTGGCTGAACTATGATAATTATATGAAGCAGCGTATTTTATGACAAATCATTCATGCTGGATTTAATACTTTTTCAGGCAATATATAGTTAGTTCACACCATTTTGTAACCTGTAACTGCTTTTGATTTCTATCTTGTATATTTTGTACCATATCCTTATTACTATGCCTAATGAATTATGGATTTTATTCCTTATTGTAGGACTGGACTGGATTGGACTTTAAAAGTATAATGAACGAAGCTGAAAATATCAGAAATACGGTATGCAATTGAACATGCTCAATTTTCTACATCTGGTTCTCAGCTTGCTATTACCGGTAGTGGGGGTGTCTTGATGGTATATGACAAATCACAAATGCCAGACATGCTTGTGCACATGTTTTATTTGTGTTTTTGAGCACAGTAGGGGGCAAATATGCTGCTTGTTTTGAAGCAAAACTTCCAATTGTTTTAAGTGCATGTTTCTGATCAAGCGATGTAGTTTTCTTATTTCTTATCCCTTTACTTTAAATGATTATTTTGGAAGAGTTTTTTTATCTCTAAAAACTATATATATATATAATTTTTTTTAATAGACAGCTAAATAACCCAATAGTGGTTGATTGCGGTGGAAATAGACTGATCCTAGGTGAACATTATTTGTAATGTACCTGAGGAGGGTTTTACTTAACCACCACTCTTGGCCCCAAGGGCTAGTCTCACAGATTTACTTGTGGAATACTCAGTTAAATACTAGAAAAATAGACAGCTATGTTTACTACATTTACACTGAATTTTTCATAGATATTTGAGTACTAGGCGGCTGTGCCTCCTTTTCTTATGTACAAGGTTTTATTTAATATTTATTTTGTCATTGTTGTAATTCTGTTTGTATTGGGTACTTCTGTTAAACATGAGTGTGAAACTGTGTTGAGCAAAATGAAAAAAAGAATTAAGAATAAGGAAAGGGAACATTTAAGCTGTGAAGGCTCTCTTTAATGGTGATGGACTTATGGACCTTTTGTTGGTGATCGATGACTACTGCTCTTTAAGCTAATGCATGCATAACATGAAGAAATCATTTTCATTTATTCTGAAATAATCATGAGCAAAACTTGAATAAAATAATACTGTAAAGTGTAAACTGATTTATCTGAATACTGTTAGATACTCACAAATATGCTGTTATTTATAATCAAAAGAGGAGATAATTAAAGATAGAATGAATACAACGAAATTTCTTGTTTTATTAAGATTATTAATTTTGAAATATAGATATGGATGATTATTTCTTGATAGTGTCCTCAATTTTTCTTTCAAATCTTTCCCTTTTGTATAGATTATAAAATTCTGGCTTCACTGTGGCTTATTTGGTTAGTACTCACTAATTGTTTTCACACTTGTGCTACAATCACTTACAAAGGTATTAAACAGCATGATGGGTGTACTTTTGGTTTTGAGTGAAGGGAAGTTGAATGTTTCCTGCTGTTATTCTCTTTCAGGGTAACAGACTGTTCAAGGAAGGAAAATATGAACTTGCCAAGGCAAAGTATGAAAAGGTATTCATCTTTCTCTCTTGAACCAAGTGGAACCTTATGCTCTTCTGTATTTGGTTAACATTTTTGATGGGGCAGCTGTATTTGCTGCTTATTCCTGATAAAAACAATGTATCTAAACATTATATATTCATTGAGTTGGTCTCAGCTAGATGGTGGTATAATGGCACACTCCTTGCTCTTATAAGGCTGGGAGAGTTGATGCCCAGGGTTTAAATCCCTGCTGTGCCTTTCCCAAGGTCCGCAGGACATAAATTGTGGTTGAAATAACTGACATCATCAGCTAACAGCAAAATAGTTCTCTTTTATCATGCTATTTTGCTTCTGCTATCTATATTCACAATTGCAAAGGAATTTGCAGTGCTATTAAGTTCTGTTCATTTTGTTTGCTTTGAAATCTCATTGTTAAAAGGATTTGATTTGTATATTACATGTATTGGAGTTTTGTTGTACATTCTAAGATAATTGGATTTGTACTTCACTTGGATTTTTGTTTTTGGCTGTGAAAGTCTCACTACACCATCAAACTTATTAACATTATGTGGTAGTTGGTAACAGGTGCTTCGAGAATTTAATCATGTTAATCCACAAGATGACGAAGAAGGAAAAGTTTTTGCAGATACACGGGTACGTTATCTTTAGTCTCTTTCCCAGCATATTAAAGAAGGGAAGCATATTTACCTAACTTATGATTAGGTTGATTTTAATTTAGACTAAATCTTTCTCTTTCTTCCACTCATGACTGAAGAATTTGCTGCACCTGAATGTTGCTGCATGCCTTCTAAAGTTGGGAGAATGCAAAAAGTCCATTGAGAGTTGCAATAAGGTATGCTTGATGACCTCAGTTATCTTTCATGCATTGGAATAAACAGAGTAGCATCAGTTAATTTAGGTACTTTGAAGTTGAAGTAAACATTTTGACGTTAAAACAAATTCATTGATTTTATTTATAATTATGAACGTTAACACTATGCTGAAGAGTGAAGACTCTGAAACGTAGTAATGTTCCAACTCTGATATTTCTAGGATGAGGAGGGTGAAGGAGAAGGGGGGGGGGGGGGGTGTTGCTGCATTAATTTGTTGCAAGTCTGTCTGTCTGAAATATTAAGCTGCATCCTGTCCAAGTATGCCTCATTTGTAATTAATCTGAGTAAAGCACAATGACTGGCTTCATTTGTAATTATGCCTCATTTATAAGAATCTTTCTCCTTTTCATTATTATATGGTATTTATCCTCTTATATGTGGGCAATGTTTGGCATAGTAGTAAGGTTGCTTGTGGGGATAAGGTTGCGTACATCTACTCTCCTTAAACCTCACTAGGTGGGTGCCTTGTGCGCTGGGTCCTTCTTTTTGTCCTACTATATCTTAAAATCTTGTCAAGTTAGCCTAAGATGCCTGTAATATCTACCTTTTTTTTTATTTTTTTTTTATCATTCTAACTATGCTCAAATCCATTGATTGATTCTATACTTTATTAAAATGGGTTGGAATTAACCCCAGAAGCTAGTTCAAGGGGAAGGATTGCTTGTATTATAAGGGGTATTGTGGTCATATTTTTCTTAAGCAATGTGACGCATCATCACACCCCTTACAACTAAAACTGAAAGCATAGAGTGTGACATTTGCAACACTGGGCATTTGTGGGTTGCTCCACATTAATAACACAGGCTTTGATAACACAATAGAAATGGATTGTGAGCCTATCTCAACTCCAAAAGCTAGGTTTAAGGGTACTCAAATTTACAAAATATATTGTGGTCATGTTCCTAACTAATGTAAGAGATTTTAATGATACTGAAATTTGTACATATATTTTCTAATGGTGGATACTTCAAGGAGTAGGTAGTTACCACTTTGCTGTTCTTTCATGCATATTAAGTTTCTATTTGCCCTTTTCCTTTCCTTTCCTTTGGCTTAAATCTGGTTTCTGACATTTGATTGTGTTCTATATCTTAATTTTGCCCATTGTTCTGTTTTCTTCAATGAATCATGCAGGTTTTGGATGCAAATCCTGCACATGTGAAGGGTCTTTATCGTCGTGGAATGGCTTACATGGCTGCTGGAGATTTTGAAGAAGCAAGGGCAGATTTCAAAATGGTACTCTTCATGCATAATATGCTTATCATCTAAAGCTGTATTGTTATCCATTTCTAAAATCACTTGCCTGCTATCTTAGATGATGAAAGTTGACAAATCAACAGAATCAGATGCAACTGCAGCTCTTCAAAAATTGAAACAGAAGGAGCAGGTGGGTTTGAAATCAGTTATTTGGTTATATGCTTGAGACATCACAGATGGAAATATTAAGACTTCATTCATTTATCAATTCATTTGCAGGAAGTCGAGAAGAAAGCTAGGAAACAATTTAAAGGTCTATTTGACAAGAAGCCTGGAGAAATTGCAGAAGCTAAAGCTGATGTAGATGGAGATCAGATAACAAGAGAAACCCAGATGGACAATGAAGTACATGAGGACTTAGATGGAACAAATTCAGAGGCGTCACATGAAGCACCACCGGAGGCTCAACCAACTGGTTGGTTCTCTCTCTTTTGGCCTTCTGGCAGAAGATTTTTTGAATCTCTTGGGCTTAATAGATGTACCATACTATAATTCAACTTAAAACGTGGTAGTTGGTCATAATACAGTTTCTAAAGAAGGCATTCCAGGCCATTTTAATACACTGGCACTTATAGAATGGGTTCAAGTATTTGTAACTTTTATCTTACCATATGATGTCTTCTGAAAGATTTTTTTTTTACCAGCTTTACATTGTCATACGTAAAATCTGTTCCCCCCCCCCCCCCATGCATATTAAGTTTCTATTTGCCCTTTTCCTTTCCTTTCCTTTGGCTTAAATCTGGTTTCTGACATTTGATTGTGTTCTATATCTTAATTTTGCCCATTGTTCTGTTTTCTTCAATGAATCATGCAGGTTTTGGATGCAAATCCTGCACATGTGAAGGGTCTTTATCGTCGTGGAATGGCTTACATGGCTGCTGGAGATTTTGAAGAAGCAAGGGCAGATTTCAAAATGGTACTCTTCATGCATAATATGCTTATCATCTAAAGCTGTATTGTTATCCATTTCTAAAATCACTTGCCTGCTATCTTAGATGATGAAAGTTGACAAATCAACAGAATCAGATGCAACTGCAGCTCTTCAAAAATTGAAACAGAAGGAGCAGGTGGGTTTGAAATCAGTTATTTGGTTATATGCTTGAGACATCACAGATGGAAATATTAAGACTTCATTCATTTATCAATTCATTTGCAGGAAGTCGAGAAGAAAGCTAGGAAACAATTTAAAGGTCTATTTGACAAGAAGCCTGGAGAAATTGCAGAAGCTAAAGCTGATGTAGATGGAGATCAGATAACAAGAGAAACCCAGATGGACAATGAAGTACATGAGGACTTAGATGGAACAAATTCAGAGGCGTCACATGAAGCACCACCGGAGGCTCAACCAACTGGTTGGTTCTCTCTCTTTTGGCCTTCTGGCAGAAGATTTTTTGAATCTCTTGGGCTTAATAGATGTACCATACTATAATTCAACTTAAAACGTGGTAGTTGGTCATAATACAGTTTCTAAAGAAGGCATTCCAGGCCATTTTAATACACTGGCACTTATAGAATGGGTTCAAGTATTTGTAACTTTTATCTTACCATATGATGTCTTCTGAAAGATTTTTTTTTTACCAGCTTTACATTGTCATACGTAAAATCTGTTCCCCCCCCCCCCCTTTTTTTTATATTGAATAAAAGAGTGTAAGAATTAATAGGAAATAGAAAAAAGTTTAGCAAACTGAAGCAGTTGTTAAAAGTTCTACATTATCTTTGAGGACATGTTACTTGTAGGTTTTTTGATCAAGAGAAGTCAAAAGTGAAATTTTGGTAATTTTCACTGGTATGTATGAACATGTTTGTAGCATCTTCTGTATGCCCTCTCAATTACTGTTGAGCTTATACTTTCTGTCCGATAGCCAACGAAGTATTAGGAAGTTGTCTTGCAGGCAAAATAACAATTGTAGAGATATTATCTTATTTTTACTTCGAATTTACTTTTTAAAAATTTATATAAGAAATAATATAAAAATGACACTGTTTAATCTGTTTTTCTTATTAATTTTTGTTAACAGAAAATGAAGTGAAAATAAAGTACTTTTGTAATTAATTGTGAAAATATAACATTGTCTCAACAAAACATGAATTTATGAATAGTGCAAAAAGGTATTTTTGTCTTGAGGTGTAGACACTGTAAATTGTTGCTTGGGGCTTTAGATTTTAATGAAATTAAGTCGGAAAAATTAATGAAAAATTGTGTATTTTGAAATTTATTTTTCTACATAGTATTTTATGTATTTGTAAGTAGGATTGTGGAGCAAACTTGTCAATAAATCCTTTCGGTTTAATTGTGAGAATGATTTTGAAAGTCATCTTAGTTAAAATTAGTTTTATGCTTCCGCTGTTTCATTTTATTTGGGGTCTTGGTATATTTTGTTTATTTTAATTTGATCCTTGGTTTACGATATCAATACTGTCTTTTTCTTGTTATATCATTAACTAATTTCAATACATTTTTTAATTACAAGTGGAAATCTAAAATAGCATAATTTATTTTATGATATTAAATATATTAATTATATGGGAGTTGCTACGGTACCCTCAAAGATCGAGGGGTTTCAATACATTTTTTTTTATGTAAATTCATAATTTTTTTTAAAAAAAATTAATTTAATTATAAAATGAATAATTTAAATTATACTTATAAAATAAAAAGTAAGATAAAATTATAGAAATTAAAATTATAAGATTTCAATAATATTATAAAATATTAAAAAAGAAAAAAATTAATAAATAATAGAAATAAAAAATTATTAAAATTATAATATAGAAATTCAAAAATTTAAGATAAAAAGACAAAAATATACTTAAAAAATAATTCAAATTAAAATATAGAAATTCAAATATTTTAAGTGAAAAGACAAAAATATACTTAAAAAATTATTAAAATTAAACTATTTAAATATATAATCATATTATTACAAATAAAATTAGAATATATAAAATAAAAATCAGTTAAGGGTATGATTATCTATTATTTTTTATACCGGTACCCTCTCAAATAAGATGGGTACCATAAAATTTCTCTAATTATATTTCTGAAGTCTTGTGCTAAAATTTTAAAAGTTTAGAGTTCAAAGGAGGGAGGAGAGGGGAAGGAAGGGGAGTTAAAATTTGTTTGGTTGAGGAAGGGGAGATGTAATTATAAAGATATTTTGGACATTATATTAAGGTTTGAATATGTTTTTAACTCTTCTAAAATGAGTATATTCTTCTTTTAGTACTTGTAATTTTTTTTCTTTATTCTTCATTCTTTTAAAATTTATAATTATTGTTTAGTTTCTATTATTATGTAATTATTTTTATCTACTTATTTATTTATTAAAAAATTATGTGATTATTTTAGGTGTTACAACCGTTAGTTATACTATGCTAGTGTGTGACACCTAAAATTTTCTATAGATTCTTAAAGAAATATTGTTTATCTACTTTAAAATCATTGATATGAACAAAAAAAATTAATGATTTAGATTTTAAAGGGTTGAAAATAAAAGAAAAATATTTTATTGAGATTAAAATTAAAATATACTTATTTTACAAGAGTAAAAAATATTTTACAAGAATAAAAAAATAATGTTTAAAAATTTTAAAAGGGTGAGAAAGATTTTTTTTTTATGGGGACTAAAATGAATTTTGTCCATTTTACATGATCTAAAAATATATTCAAGTCTTAAATTAAATGTTTTAAAATCTCTCCTCTCTCCCTCCCCTCCAAATCCTTCCAATATTAAAAAAGAACCAAGAGAATTAAAATTAGATGATAAGAATTTTTTTTCCCTTCTAAAAATTATTTTTTAAAAATTCCTCCTCACCTCTCTATTCTTTTTATTAAACATTATGTAAATATCAATCAAAAGGAGATGGAGTAATTGTTTGTTACCTTTAAAACTTTGTTGGGCCCCTCTGAAGCCGTAAGAAAATATTGGATAGAATTTATTAGTTTAGGAAGAAAATAAAAATAGCCGATGTTTGCAGTATTTGCCTTTTTATTCCTTATTTATTTATATATTATTTAGTTTGCGCAAAGAGGATATTTAGAAAAAATAATTAAAGAAACATAAAAGGGGGTGTATAAGTAAAAAAAAAAAAAGAAGTGAAAAGTAATTGCTAATTTTTTCCCTAAAATCTAACCAATCTTCAGAGATATCAAATATGAGACACCAAATGGGGTACAAAACAAGAGAGTATACGATGATGGAATAATGTATTATTTACTTTTTGTGTGTTTGGCTTTATTGAATTATTCAGTCACATTAAAATATTGTTCAATGTGATTTTAAGTGAATTTTTACGGATAAATATTAGGGTGATCACTTTAGTAGGTGATTTATGGTGTATCATTGTTATTTATCATTAAATTCATCTCATCCACACTATTATATCATGCATCTTTCTCACCTGATTTTTTCCGTTCTTTTTCATTTTTGCCCCAACAAATCTATGGAGTTTGTTGAATTTTTCATAAATGCTTCTAGCATGAAGAATTAAAGTTAGTACTTCATAGATGAGACACTAAAATAATCGGAAATAGAAGGTTTTTAATTGAAAAAATATAAAATAAAATCACAAAAATAAAATATTTTAATGTTAATTTTTGGCGGTGGTTTCTGGCCGCTACAACTACAACGCCTATCTTTCTACTACTTTTGTATTCAATTTAGAAATTTCTTCTCCAATATCTTTTGTCTTCGATTCAAAAACTTTTGTCTTTGACTGTGTGTATTTGTTTGCAGCAATTCCCGTACGAGGCTTATTTCCTCAACAAAACCCACCAAAGTTTCAACTTATACAACAAATCAACATTCAATACAACGTAACTTGTTGTTGTTGTTGTTATTATTATTATTATTTTTATTTTTTATTTTCTTGCAAGTAATAATCCAAGACTCTTGAAACGATTAAAGAGTGTTCCAAAATTGTGTCAAATTGTCAAAGCCATAAATTGAGTTCAACCGATTCAAGGTTTGAGTCGTCTTAGAAGGTTGAGAGGTTGAGAAAATTGTGGGCACGATGTGAGGGTTAACCAGAGTTGGTCGTTGAGAGTGAAAAGACCCTTTAAGATGACATTGTGGAGCGTGTAGATACACTTGATGGACCATGATGGCATTGCATGTGCGGTGGAGGCACTCCATGAGCACATCCATGGAGGCGCGTGGTTAGCTGGAGGCATGACCGACAACGATGACAGAGAGTCTCCAGAAGGAGCAATGGAGAGGGCATGCATGGTGGCTCAATGACGATGAGTTAAAAAGAGTCATTTTATTGGATATGTAAGTTGTCGTGCATTAATTTTTTTTATTAATATATTAAATAACTAAAACTAATGATTCATAAATGTATCACTTATTTTTACCATGATGCTTTTTCTCTCTCCGTGAGATGTTTTCTCTCTCTCTCCATGAGACATCTTTCCTTGCCCTTAACTTAATTTCTTCTACCTTCACGTAAAACATACAAGAAACGCTACCACGGAACCACCTTCACTTCAGGACCTGCATATACAAGAGGAAGATGATGCTAACCTTGTTCTCCGGAAGAACCAATCCAATCCGTTGTTGAAGACTTCCCTATGCCTCGTTGGTAGGTTCCTTACAGATCGAAATATTAGAGTGGCTATTATGAAAGAACGCATGGTTGAAGTGTGGCATCCTCGCTGGGGTGTCAATCAAAGAAATTGCCCAAAGCCTTTTCTTGTTTCAATTTTTCCATATGCTTGATATGCAATGCATTCTCAAAGGAGGGCTATGGTCCTTTGACAAACACCTTCTCATTCTAGGTATTATCCAACCCGGAGAATTACCTAATTAAGTCCCCCTCTTCACAGTTCCTTTTTAGATTCAGCTGCATAACTTATCGCCTGGATATATGACGTCTGTCGTGGGAAAAACATTGGATGACCATATTGGATCTTTTTTGGAGTATGACGAGAAAAACTCATCAAATTTCTGGCCCACCTATATGCGTAGTAGAGTTCTTATAGATATCAGACCCCCCCTCAAGAAATCGAAATGTGCGTAAAGAAATCTGGAGGCAACACTTATGATATCCTGTTCAAATATGAGAAACTAGGCCCGTTCTAATTTTATTGTGGTCTTCTAGGCCATCTCGATGATAGCTGCGACATTCTATTTTCCAAAGATCAAGATGATGGTCATCGTCGTTGGAGTGCAGAGCTACGAGCTGACACATGTGGCGTGACTTTAGGGTCAAGATGGTTACGTGAGGAGAATCTGCATGAAAATCATGCACGTAAACAATAAGGGATTTTCTGTAAATATCGGTCATCCAAATTCCGGTATACAAACATATAATACTCATATCTCAAGAATTTCAAACTCTAAGAAACAAATAGAACTAATGACTTAGATATTCCAAAACCCAACATGTTTGTTTTCGAAATCAACGCCACACCCACCTCACAATGCAACCACCACAACTGCACTCACTGCATCAACTCAAGGAAATTATGCTGCCATGGATGAAGATTCGAATGACTCTACAGTCATCTTGGGTAACAGAAAGCGTAGCCATGAAGATGAAAGATATAGTAACTCTCCCATGCACAAACAAAGCCTTGTTAGCC